CAGCTATCTATTGAAAAAAAAATGAATTTCTCTTTAAAACACCTTATATTATAAAGATTCCTTATGTAAAAAAAAACTGCTTTTGTCCATCCTTGATCTTCTACTTGATTTTTGAACTAATTCATTACTCAAATATTACTGAATCAGCACATTTTATAAATGACAGTAAGCACTGAAACAATTTGCCTTTATCAGTTGCAATTTTCTGAGTTAATAAAGTTTGTAAAATCGTCCGATGTGGTGTATTACTAACTACCAAATATCTTTATACCTCTGTATTCTGTTTAATTTTTGCATATAACTTAAAGTGAATTATATTCTCGGCACATATTCACTCATTAAAAGCTTTCATTATTTGCATATGCATATAAAACTCTACTCAACTTTCTCTTGTTGGCCAGCAAAAGTTTTTTCATTAAAGCTAGCATATGCATCAAATGTAGCAGCTGCTACCATTACTTTAACTCTCACGTTGGTTAAATAATTGGCTATTGAACATAAACTTTACTCCATTAGTCAAACAGAAAATATATATTGTATTACATATACATATACACATATTCATATAAGCACAAACTTCAAGTACTCATGCTGCAAAAAAATCCAACCTTAAATAAGTTATGATTCCAAGCATTAGCTCAGTGCTTGACTGGCTTTCGCTTAGTTATCTAGTTATGTACCTTTCTCCCAGCATTGAGTGATGCGGTGACTACAAACATACACTGTCATTTATTTTGATACAACATGGCTTTAATGAATTTGGCACGTGATATTGAAAGTCGTTAGATTTTTTTTTGTTTTTCAAAACTTCACTTTTGGTTCATTCTCTGCTTTTGGCTGGGAAATTCGTTGAAGTGGAAGTTTGTAAAATTTCACTTAATGAGTTATTGATGTTACTACACATGTACATATGTACATAGGTATAAGTATGCTAATTTAGAGAAATATATTATAGATGAGTAGGTATGTATGTATTTATGTATATTAGAAAAAAAAATTCAGTACTTTTTTTTTTAGATTTGACTACTGCATTAAGCATAAATTAAAAGTGAAAAAATACATTCATAAATCTTTTCCATATTCGTGTCGCCACAAGCATGAGTTCGATGATTTTCGAAGTACTTTCCGCACAAAGCACTCAGATTCTAAGTACTTACGTTTGCTTTTACAGCATAAATACTAGAAATATAAGAAAAAATCATCTACCTTAGCAGAGAAATAACCAAAGAGAAAGAAATAAACATAACTCAAGTACGTTGTACATAAATATTTTTTGCGTATTGCTCATGGGTATAATTTACATTTACTTTGCTCTCATTTCTTTAAGCGCTTTTCTTTCACCACTGAGGTAAATGAAAAACAAGAAAAAACGTTAACTTCGGCTGTACCGAAGCAATAATACCCTTCACAGGTGCATTTGTTATTGCATAAACAGATATAAAAGATGTTTATCTTCTAAACAAATTGTTTGGAGATTGTAGCACTGCCTTCGATAATAATACTTGTATAGGTATTATATGTAAAATTTCGTGAATACTTTGTCAAGTTAAACATTTTTCCATACAAGGACTTGAGTTAGGTCAATCAGTTTGTGTGACAGCTACATATGTATATCCAGTAGTTGTCTGATCTGATTGTAGCGTTACCTTGGACAATAATCCATACCGAATTTCATAAAGACATCTTGTCAAATAGAAACATTTTCCTTACTAAGACTTGATTTTGATCGTATGGCAGCTATATCCTCTAGTGATCCGATATTGGCGGTTCCGAAAAGTGAGCACCTTTTGTGGGGAGAACGGAGGACGTGTGACCGATATCTCAAAAACTAAACAAGTTCGCGTGGCTTAATCGACGCCGCTCGTCAAGCTAATTGTTTATACATATATACCTTTTATAGGGTCTCCAACCTTTTCTTCTGGGTGTAACAAGCTACATGGCAAATTAAATATACCCTGTTCAGGGCATAACGAGCGCTACACTAGTCAGATTGACTAAAAATCGTACACTCTGCGGTTATCCGATGAACAATAGAACAGAGTGTGCCTGCCAAACACACACTGTATCCACATTAAGCACAGTCAATCATTCATTCAAGCATTCTATGTGCTACTTTCGGCTAATGTCGATGCAACACAACGAATAAGAGCGAAATGCTATAGGGAAAAGCTTAAGAATTCATTGAACTTTGACGCTAAAATTATGTTAACGAATCATAGAGCGGCGTAAAGGAAATAATGTAAAATAAAATTAAAAAAAAAAAAGTATTAAAACCCCGCTGTAATTTTTGCAAAAAATGCCCTTGTTTTCTTTTTCCCGTGATATTTGCTTGTTGCATTTTACGAAGTTCATTTAAAAGAAAAATCAATAATGATATTTCTGGCTTGCCGTTGCTGAAATGGCTAATTAAATAAATGATAATCATGCATATAAATCCATGTTGTTAAATAACGGAAATAGATAAAAAGCTAAATTGCTTACTTTGATAATTTTTATTGTTGCTATTTGCCATAATTGAAATAAACAAGTGCCGTAATCATTGATTTTCGCCGCGCCCATGTATATTGCGAATTCATAATTTTGCAATCGTGGATAATTATTGATACGTAAATCCTTATAAGTAAAAATCGGACTTTATAACATATTTGCGAAGAGCCTTTACAAATTTGTATTTTAAATAAGTAATCAATATACAAAAGTAGTATTTTTTGTGATCGGGTAATGTTAGCATAATGAGTATGGTTGGTTAAAAGTTTAAAACTTGTAGCTGTCTTAGTTTTTATGTAAACTAGTCGTTAATTCTTGGCATTTAGTATGTTAATAAGCTAGTTATAATTTTATATAAATACAACTTTACCTCTACGTGCTTGTATACATACACCTTATATATTTAATATTATATATGGTACATATGTACGTATTTGTAAAAGTATACGCTCAGTTGGAGTATTGATAAACTTTGCCATTTAACCGATAATTGTTTTTATTTATGCTTTGCAAAACCTTTCCACGAATACCTATCTATTTATGTTGCGCATTTTTTATTTGGCAGGAATGCTAAAAGTATTTGTTGTAGCAATTACGATAAGCAGTGCTTATTTCATTAATTATTATTGTATTACAACAATGCGATAGTGCCAATTATCTGGAGTAAATGTAATATTATAACCAGCAAGAAACGACTACCGAAACTCCAATACATTGAATTGATTCTTCCCTAAGCGTAAGAAAGGGTTGAACGATCGCACGTACACAAGTAGTAAGTTTAATCTAAATTTCTGGTAGCGCTCTTGTAAATGTGTAACCAGTAGTTTAACTGATAGTGGGATTGCGGGGAAATATTTTGGTTATCTAAATATACGAGTACACATACATACTATACCATTTGATGATATTTGACCTGTGATGGAAAATACTACATTTTCACGTGCTTATATAATACAAATATTTATTATAGCCTTCAAAATAGGCTTCTGAACAAATACAAAATTGGACAGTTTCGACGTGATATTCATAAGCCCACGTTTCGTAGTAATATTGCGTTTGATGAATATAGGGTCTTCAGTTACATTCTCAAGCATTTCTTTTGCGACCTCTACTCGACATCGTTTTTACAAAAGATTCAAATCTTTTGGTACGAGTCTAGCATTAACGCGCTAGATATCCAAAATATTAACTAAAATGTATTGGGAGATATTGGGATGTTTTCCTATCTCTCTAAGTCCAACCCAATGATTTTCAAGCACTATTTCTCAAACTTTTTCGATGTTAACGTCATTAGCAGAGCTGGATGTACGACTCGCTTGAGGCAACTGCTCGATGAATTTAGGACTTTTACTCAATGCCTTGTTCTACTCAAATACTTGTGTTCGTGATATAGTAGAATCTCCGAAACATTTTTGCAACGTTTATAACAGTTTCGTCGCCGTGTTACATTGGAAACTAAAAAATTTTAGCAAACTCGCTGTTCAATTTTTTCGCATTGTAAAATCCCAAGATTCAACAATATTATTTACGCTTTCTGTATATCTGTATGAATTATCTACATTTTTTTTTGGTTGACCAGACGAAAATAATTATTTGACTAAAGAAAAGAACAAACAGTTTCAATTTCAACTTCCACAAAGGAAAAAAACTAGAGGGCAAAGCGCTTACTTACCGTGTTGCCATTTAACCAAAAAAAAATGTTAACAGATGCTGAAGTGGAGAATTAGCACTAGACTACGGTTACAGTAGCAGATTTTTCAGCATTTCACCTATAGATACTCATGCATATATTGCATATCAGTAGTATATATACATATGCATGTATATCAAGGCCAATGTCTACGTAATTATCTACACACATCCGTACGCACATCTCTACAATGTAATCTGCAATTTGTGTTGACAAATGTGCAGATGCTCCAACCAGACAGTTGAATTGGACAGACAGTCCAACAGCCAGACGGAAGCAAAAAAGGAAGCATCAACATTTAAGCTTTGCCGTACACAATAATATATACATACATATGTTTGTATACAAATGGAAATCACCGCTAGACAGGCAGGGGTAGCAGGGCATGCACTTATATTAGCGTCATAGCTGTCATGTCTTCACAAAACCAAAAAACCATACATATTTTTGTAATGTATACGAATACCCACTCAGTCAAAAGCAGATGCTCACAGCGTCGTCTGTGGAAATGTTACCAATGTCGCATGTCGCTCCACTCTCAGTAGCTGGCTAACGCTGCGTCCAATCGGTTTATGAGATTGCATTGCAAGATTCCTTAAAACCATCCGTTTTCGGTAAATGCTAAGTTATTTAGTGTGAAACATAGACGTGACATCCCATCAACATTATATTGCTACATGTTATGTGACATGCGTGTCGTAAACAATACTCACATACATACATAAGTATGTACAAGTATTGGAATATTGTCCAACAACTGGTCTTTTGTTGCATTTATTTCCTTTTTATCTTCATTTTTATTATTTCTTCATTTTTATTACAATTTTCTTTTTGTTTGCGATGAGTAAACTTCTCTGTAATTTATTTTTTTTACCACCATGACATTCTTATCGTCATCTTGTTTCGTTTCCTTTTTCCATGTCCTTTCGCTTAAAATTTATATTTATGTATTGTACATCCGGATACACATATTATATTATACATGTGGTCAAGGCAAGCGATGCCAATTTTTAGTTAGGTTAGGTTCATGTGTTTTAATTGAAACGTGACAATTTTTGTCTTTATATACCTATATTAAAACACTGAATAGGATATATTAAGTTTTTCACGAAGTTTCTAACTTCCAAAAGGAAACGTCGGAAACCCTATATAGTACCATTCAAGTATACATATATATATAAATGATTATCGTGAAAAGCGTATTTTTCTCTCCAAGAAGCTGCTTATTGGTCGAAACCGCTGATATCGCAACCCTATAGGATGTAGCTGGCATACAAAAAGATCGATCAAAATGGCGTTCTTGTGTGGAAAACTTTTTTATTTGACAGGATATCTTCAAATTTGGCACACATTATTACTCAAGACATCGCTACGATCTCCGAACAAAATTTTGAGGTCGGACCACTATAGCATATAGCTGTCATACAAAATGACCGATCGAAATCCTTTTATGCTATAAGAAATGCATCTATGAAAGGTATTATAGCACCGGTGTAACCAAAGTTTTTTTTTCATCTGTTTTTTTTCATAATGTCGCAGATTGAGGAATTTTTTTGTAGAAGGTAGAACAACAAAACTTGATTTTGTGTATTTCAAAGCTTATCTTGTATAAAATTTTTAATATTCTACTGAAGGGAAATTATTAAATCTAAAAAAAAGGATTATTTTAACAGAAAAATATTTGTACCTATGTGAGAGAAACATACATACATACATTCATGCCTAACGTATACCGATACTTTGCGCATTACTTTCAGGTATACTAAGCTTTTGTCTGTTACTTTTTCCATGTAAAACACACTTCAGAAGCTAAGATGTGCTTGGAATTTAAAATTAACTTCCTCTTATATGCATTGGTACTTCTGGTACATTTGTCTGGAATCTCTTTCCACTTTCTAACCTACATATTATGTTTATCTCTGTGTGTGTTTCTTATTCTGTGCATTTATCTTGTTTTTATTGTGCCACACTCACTGTGGGGAATAAGAATTAACTGAGGGTTTAGCGTATGGTTGAGGCATACAAATGAAAAGTCTTTTTATCAGACATTCTTGTTGGGTGATACTCGACGTATATGTGCATATAAGCATGAAAGTGTGGTTTAAAATTTTCAGTTAGTAAGTAAGGAAAAATATAATAATACAGTTAATGTTGGAGAAAGTTTAATTATATATAAACTTATGTACTGTATTGATTATATAATTACAATCTAAATGGTATTCCTAACTGGATTATTACCTTTTATCAGTTGCTAATTGATTACGTTTAAGTTACTAACTGCTTTCGATTTGTCAAGCCTTAGAGAGTGTCGAATCAAACAAATAGCTTTTACATATCACTAGTACTAATATAATCAAATATCAGTTGAATTGCAAGCCGTTATAGCTGTTTAATTTGATCATATTTGACCTAGACTGATAAAGAAAATACATTTTCACGTAATTTATACAAATCTTTACTATCGCTAAATCCAAATTTGCATACAGTTCCCATAAGCCTCGACTGGTTTTTCCGGTCTCGGCTTGGTTTTATAAATGTAGAGTCTTTTGTTACGTTGTCAAGCATCTCTTTTGTGACCTCTACTCGATGTTCATTTCGCAAAAGATACAGCATTGGCACGCTACATACCCAAAAACTTAATCAAAATCTGATGATTCGATCCATAAAAGATGTTGAGATCCCCTGCTATCTCTCTAATGCCAACTCGATGATTTTCAAGCACTGACAACTTTTTCGATGTTGTTGTTATTAATAGAGGTGGTTGAACGACTTGCCTGGGACGATATTGCGATGCGACCTTCACTGAATCCTTTGTACCACCCAAATACTTGTGTTCATAACAAAGAGACTCCTGAAAACACTTCTGCAATATTTGTTCTATGGTAAAAAATCTCCAGGATAAACTTTTCCCTTCGTAAACAATAACTGCCAAACACACACCAGAAGATATAAGGAGATTAAACTTCACACGATCATAAAAAGGGCTGTACCAGTTTCAATTAATCAGTCCGAGTCAAATATCATCAGGTATATTAAATGGAGTAGCATAATAAAATTTAGATAGAATAGCAATTCGTTATAACTGCTATATGAGAGTATCCACATACTCTCTTTTATTAAATTCAACTGCAACCAGTTGTTAGGGGAGGAATGTTCACGCAAAGCGAGCAAATAAGTGGCGAATCGATGAAGACTTCTGCTAGTTTAATATTGTTTACTTGTTAATAGGATGCTATATGCTATAGTTGTCCGATCTGAATTTTTCGGAGCTTGTAGCGATGCCTCGAGTAATAATCTGTGCCAAATTTGGTAAAAATACAAAAGAAAGTCTATACAAGGACATGAGTTTAATCGGTATTTACTTTATAGAGTCTCCGACGTTTCCTTTTGGGTGTTACAAACATCGTGGAAAACTTAATTCACCCTGTTTAAGGTATGAAAATCTTAAATGTTCATATGTACCTACATACATACTCGTACTTACTTGTACTAATCGCTTGCTTCCGTAATACGTTCACGTATTGCAGTCCCACGTGTTAAAATAACAAAAGCGATATAAACAAACCAAATTCCGAAACTTATAACAATAAGCGCAATAATTTATGTGTACGTACAAGTATAAGTTTGATCTAATCCACTTTCGGTGAAACTGAGCTAATCTACTTTTTTTCCAGAATGGAGTACGTATCCGATACAAAAGCACTAGAACATATATAAATAAAACATGAGAACACAATAGTAAAAATAAAAGCGTGTTAAACCTGAACTCACGCACATTTTTCAATAATTAATCAAGAATAACTATTGTTACTATTTCTTTTTCGTTTATTACAAAAGACGAAAAGTCCACAACTGTTGACGTATTATTACTCCGTCTACACCATAGGGATAATTAGTAGCGTAAAAAAATCAAACGAATATTTTTGTCCCAAACTTATAATTTACTTGAAATAGTATTAAAAATTTATTAACGGCATTTCCGACCTTGCCTAATCGTAATTATACGTTCTTGCTTCTGCTGTAACCCACTTTGTTGTTCGTTTGTTTTTGTGGGTGCGTTAAATATTCATTAATCGATAGTGACCTGTTCGCATGCGTTCGCGTTACCATACTTGATTTAATTATTTATTTAGTGAACATTTCAGCTATTTGTTTGTGTAATGGTGCAATCTTATCACGTTAGCGTTGTCTAATAAATATTATAATAAATAGCGTGTGCAAAAAATCGATAAATACAGGTACAGATACATAGTTAGATAATAAACAAATTTGAATTAAAAATAGATAATATACTTTATTTTAGAAAATTGTGTGTAGAAAAAATGTATGCACATTATTTGTTATCTATTTTTTTCTGCATAGAAACTTAGATTTCATAAAAATTATTAGTCAATTATTGTATGAAATTGTTTACCATTATTTATGTTAAAATTGTTTTTACTTGATATTTTGAAACAACAACGCTTTGATAATATGAAGTGCTAATATCATTTTCCATTTTAGAATCAAAGTAAGCGGTTTACTCATATAAATTACTTTCAATCATCCAAAAATGACTGATTTAAAATTGTTGAAAATATGGACCATAGAAACAAATAATTGGGTGAACCTAACCTATAATATAAAATCATTCATCAAGCTACACTGCAATTTTATAAGGTTTAGTAAAACGAAAACACAATGGGCCTCCTAAAGGCCTAGCTGGGTCGAAAGACAGCCACTTTACCTACCTACCTAGTAAAACGAAGTTCATAATTGTTGCGTTAAATTGAAATTTTGATTTAGAAGTATTTGTTTTAGGTTAAACACGCACCTTTTTTCGATAACTTGTTGCAATTTTTGATATAATTTTATAATACCACTGTCATAGAAATCTTCATCCCTGTCGGCAAAAAGCTGGGAACGTCGATTTACACAATCATTTGCCATAGACAGGAACAGGTAGTGATCACTTCGTTCGAGGTCCGGACTATAAGAAGATAGAATAACAGCTTCGGCCGAGTCACTATCGATGTGTGTGATCTAGCGTCCTAAGGAAACATATTTCCTGTCATTTTGGTCAAAGCTGGGCCCTTTTGTGCGATTGCTTTATTCAGACGATCAAATTGTTGTTTGTGTACATACTCGCATGTCCAAGAGCTTGCTTGTAAGGAAATACTCATAGTGGATGATTTTCTGCCAATATCACCAAATACATAGCAAACTCTTCCTGACCATCATTTCCTCTATAACATTTTTTTCATCAACATTAGCAATTTTATTTGTGATTTATTTTTCGTGAAAAAATTCCATGATGTGACAAATCTTTAAGATACCATATTCCGAAAATTCTTAAAAATTCAGTTCGTAAGCAGTTTATACTCGTATTGTTAGCAGCTAATGAAATTTACGTTTACTCATACTTATGTATGTATGTGTCTATACATCTCTCACTTCACGGAGTTTAGCAAAAATTAGCAAATAGGTGAAAATTCCGCTTTCATTGTACTTTCGTCAATAAAATAGCGCTAAATGTCTGAGGCGCAAAAGCATGTGCATAGTTCTCATAAATATTTACATATTTTCGTTTTAAAACGTATATTTGTCGCTAATCAAATAACGGTTGTTAATACATTTGTTTCTTTGAGTCATGTGACGTATTGACTGGATTGACAACAAATTCTTACTAAGTGGTTATGTGAACGAACGTAACTTACGCAAATGGGTCAAATACTCGCACGTGATCGTCGAGATGTCAATACTTGATTGAGTTTTAAAGTTTTTCTCGGAAAATGTTTTTTGAAACGCGGTTATAGTTAACAGCCGAGCACTACAGTAGACATGTATGAGCATACCCGCGGTCATTGTACATTACCAAGACGTGTAATTACCCATTGACAGGTAAAATCAATGATTTGCTAATAATAATAAATACAATTTAGAAACTACAATAGAAATATGTTTTGCCAAGCTACTTACACTATTTTCTTCACACTTCTATCATTATTTCTTCTTTCTATAGTGATTGATGTTATTCACTTCAGAATATGTTGACATGACAGTTTCTACTCAATTTTTATTTCAGTCATTTGCGTATCATTATCTACTAACTGTCAAAATATATACTTAAATACAAGTATATTGATGACTTGCTAACGCCCAGTTCAAGCCATAAAACATATTTTATAAATAGCCAAATTGCATAGGTAAATGTTGGCAGACGAAGTAAATTGTTTTATCAAATACTGTCAGTGTGTTAAGCGAATTTATTATCATATACACTAAAAATAGTTATATTAAAAAAATAGCAACACGAGTGAAAACGGTTGTTGTATAAAAAGTCAACATACTCCGAGTTGTGATTCCCGGTTTATTATACACAATTGTTGTTTGAAAAGCGTTGAAATTCAAGTGTCATGTGCAAATTTAAATATAACAGGATTGTTGAAAAACTAGTAATTTTTCAATTCTACTAACTACTATTACGCTTTTAATAACATTAATAATATTTATTATTGTGATTTTCGTTTATTGCTGAAGAATGCAGGCTCAGCGTCGCGCCTTTTAGTTAGTTTCTGCAGTGGGTAGTGAGTGGTCAGTTAGTCAGTCGCAGTCAATTTACTTTGCTTTGTGTGTTGGCAATTGAACTTGAGTTCGTTAACACTCCGTGCACTGATATTACAGCCATTTATTGTACAAATATTGCAAGTACGAGGGAATTCATTGCTAAAAACGGACTGCTTTGTGTTAAAGCGTTGGCTGAGCAGACTGTAGCATTTACATACATGCTTGTATATAAATATTATACATATTTTATTTTGCAAAGTAGGCGTCTCGCTTTCTTCTCTTTATATGCTGATTTGTGATAATAAAAAGTGCATATTTAGTCACTGTTTAAAAATACTTATAATCTTCTATTGAATTCATCACTTAGAAGCAGTCTTACAGCTTTCTTCCATTCTCATGCATATTTTATTAAAAAGATGAATAGTACAATCACTATAAACATGTTAATAATATATTATTATTTATTGCAAGAATATTCTATGGAAAGTGATAACCATAAATTTATTTAAAAGGCTGAGTCATGTTAATTTAACTTTGTATCTACGTAATTGGTACTCAATAGCAGTATGAGTGCTTAATTGCAATTTGAGAAGTTACATGGGTTTCCTCGAGCAAAAAATGGCCTATTTCAATAATAATTTTTTTCATATAAAAATGAAGTAAGGAAAAAAGTTTCTACGCGTTGGTAGCAGAACTTCTTACAGGACATTTAAAGTAGAAAGAAAAAATAAGTTTAATTAAGGCCATAAGGTAGGTATTGGACGAAGGAAAAAAAGTGATAAACGGACGCATTGAAACGCAAATTTTAAGGAAAATTTCTCGAATAAAAAAAAATAATTTTTGAAAATTCTAAACTGCCCTAGGCACTTTTATAAATACATAATAATGAAACCTATAAATGTATATACTTTAGGCTAAATCATGCATGTGAAATGGTTAAAACTTATTTATGGATCAAAATTTAAATGCAAATTTATATTATGTTGCAATTTTAACACACTTCCATCTATGCATATGCACGTAGATCCATCTCCTATCTCTTTTTCGGTTCTTCTATTTATCTCCATTCAACCAATGGTGCTTTATCTCATATGATTTCTTGTATACTGTTTGTTCAACTGCACTGGATTTGCAATGAAAAACGTTTTTGTTCTTAAAATATACTCATAAGAATGCAAAAAAAAAACGACTAAAACACAATCCAAAGCAAAAATAATAATGCCAGCACTTGTTTGCCAACGCACATTGCCAAGCACCAACCAAAAAGTATAAAGCAAAAAGCTAGGTTAGATTATGGATAGCTTCGCACAAGCAACAATGGATGCTGCCGACTGCTTCCTTGCGTGCTCAGCTGTGCATTATATAAGTACATTGTTAGTTGCTAAATACTGGCATATACTGTATATATTGTACTACTTACATATTTGCTTGGAAAATAGCATTAAAACTATCGAAAGTATGTGAAAAGTTCAAGGATTTGCGCCCGTCATACATTTCTAATGCAAACGTTTGTCACGCGACACATGAGTAGTGAAAACTTTCTGTGGTAATTAAATAAACAATTATAGCTTTTTGTTTCGTAAACGTAATTTTTTTGGTTTAGTGTAATATATCCGTTGCGTTTGAGAAAAATTAGACTTTTTCATACGTCTTACGGTCATTAACAAAGACATAGCCGCATAAACGTGACCTTGCGTGCCTTTCTATTGTTGTTATATAGATTGTTTGCTCCCAATCCAGTTACCACCATTCACTTTAATATTTTTTCTTAACCCCTAACGTGTTTGCATACGCATACAGTAATATCAATAAATACTATAACTTTTTCTTGTCGGCAACTTTTACTATATTTTTAAATGACTGAGTTTTGTTTGCATTACTTTTCTTACACTTTTCCGTAACTTTTTCTTACGTCGTTAGCATTCGTTTAGCCACGTCGTATGTCATTAGCGACATTGAAGCCAACTATATACCATATTATATTTCTTACTCTTTGTTAACGGTAATAACTCACAGCTCAGGCGTTAACCACTTTGCCCCATTTTGAATAATTAAGATTTAAGCATCATAGGTGAAGTGCGTACCTTTTCACTTACATATTGTATTTAGTTAATTAAGCTAACACACTTTTGTTTTAGTTGCTCGATAGCTACATGGCTGGTAGTTGGTTAATTTTCGTAACATAATTATAAGAGCAGACCTGAAGACGCTAATAATGTGCTTTGTAAAAAAAAATGTATGAGAATTTTCATTAATATTCATGATATCATTAGTTCGTCAACATTTTCTTATATTATAATATATTATTTATTCTATTTAGTAAGATAATAAAGTCGTTTTAACAAAGATATCGCGGGAGTGAGAAGTACTTTTTATATGACTTCTAACCTGTTCGAGACTTTTTTTCAAAAGTCTTTAAATGTCGGAAAATTACTCATAATTTTGGCATTGCCTGCTGAGGAAAAAAACGTCTGCTAGAAAAAAAGATT